CTATCTATCTATCTATCTATCTATCTATCTATCTATCTATCTATCTATCTATTTATCTATCATTGATTTACCTACCATCTATCATGTATCTATCTATCCCTCCTGCCAGGGTCCTAGAGAATCTTGACAAGTACAATGTTTCTGTAATTTTGTTAATAACTGGAGAGGAATATGATATAATAAGCAGGGTATCATATACAACACAAAATGGCCAACAGTTTTTAATTATATATATATATATATATATATATGTATATATATGAATTGAAATTTAATCTTCACAATAACTCTATAACAAGTAATAGTTCCTCTTAATTTCATGAATGTAGAAACTAAGGCATGACAGATTTAAAATGAAACCTGCTTGGCCCAGGAAAGCTGGTGCATATCTATAACCCTTGAACTCAAAAAGCTAAAATAGAAGGACTGCAAGCTCATAGTCAACCTAGACTACAAAAAAATCTTGAAGGTAGCCTAAGGTTACAAAAAAGAACCTATCAAAGCAAAACAAACACAATACCCAACAAATAAATTACTACTGAAGCTTAATAAGTTGGTGATTTTGCAGTGAGAATATTAAAACTTGTTCATTCTGGATATTGTTCCTAGTACCCTTGTAAAAGATTAAAATAGAACATAATAAATATTTTGAAAGTAGTCAGGTTTAAAATTTCTTTCTCGGTGTGTGTGTGTGTGTGTGTGTGTGTGTGTGTGTGTGTGTGTGTTTGAGTGCTGTGCTGTCAATTGAGTCCAGTTCCTTTAACACACTAAGTGTGTTATCATTAAGATATATCACTGCCTATGCATGAGTTCATGTTTCAATCAAGCAATTTATCTTACAGAGACCAATGTTTAGTCATCAATTAATTTTATGATCCAATATGAGACCTTTTCTTAGTCTTTTAAAACATGATATCATAAGCTTACAGAGAAAAGCAATGGAAGAACATATATAAATACATGTTTGATAGATACATAATTATTTCTAAATTTATAGTGCATCATTTCATGAACAAATAAATTAGGAGATGAATATGAACGTTAGGAAATAGAAGACTGGACAATGCTCAGAGAACTTTTTTTTTTCTTCATATTGTTAACCAACTCCTCAAGAGAAACTGGGAATGTATGATGAGTGTATGACAGGCTAAGTCCTTTAGTGACAATGGTGCAGAGCTATAGCACCTGAGACAACTACAGTCCCTAAGTCTCTAAAAGTTATGACTAAAAACTTGTCATACAAGAACAGCAATGGTAATTTCTAGTATATACCCAGTATTGTCAAGAATTGAAAATAAGATCAAAGTGAAATTTTTTTACCTATGACTCAAACTTAATGGAAACACACAAGGAGTCTCAAATTAAAAATGTATCATGTACTGGAATGAAATATTCAGGAAAGTCTTAAAATAACTAAGAATTAAGCATATTTATTTTTATTTAAAAATTGTCACAGGAAGAAAGGTTTTGTGTAGATTGACTGCAAATTGACTAAACAAAGAAATGATTGTGAGAAAGACAAATTTGAGGGAAATCAAGGTTTTTATAAATTGTAGTTTTTTACCAACAAATTACTTTAGTCTATGTGCAATTATTCATAAAAACAAATTTGCTAAGCTTTTGAAATAGCTCAAATGTATTAGACTTTTTGAACTGTCTGTGTTTTTTAACCCCCCCCCCACATGCACACAGATGTCTGTGTGTGTGTGTGCCAGATATCAGAAACAGAAACAGAAACTAGACACCAGTACTTTGCATTCTGGCAATTTCAACTATTCTTTCTGTTATTTGTTCATTTTATGTGTACTTGTTAGTATTAAAAATATGTATGGATTAAATGAAGGCTGTAGTCTCTGCTCTTTCAAAGCTTAACTGATGGGAAAGTAAGACATGGTGATAAGCTTTCTTTTGAGACACTGAGTCTTTAGTGACCAGTTAGAGACTTTCTCAATTGTCTTGACTAGGTACAATATGTGTAGCGATCAGCTTGGCATTGAACA